TAGCTGATTAATCGATTAAACATTGCAGCTATGGACGTTAAGGACTCATGTTATTTGCTGTTGTCTTAAGAAGAAAGAGAAATTGGGAAATACACGGGGGAGAGACAAGGAGAGAGACAAAGAGAGAACCTAGGTACAGGTACATTATCCAGTTCTGGGAATCCTGAATGAAACAGACAAGAAACGTTTCCCAGCTGAAGCTTATTTTTCTTGCATTCTGGATATTCTTATGCAAAGGGAAAAATACCTCTACATGTTAGAGGTGAAATATTATCTGACAGATGGGGGTGCTGAGCCTTCTGAAAACTAATATCTCCGGTCTGGAGAGTCCCTCGCTGGCGAGGAGGAATTTAAACAGCTCCCACCCACAACCTAGTTAAGCCCAAACATGTGAATTCACACAACCCTATTGCACTGACGCGTCGTTAAAGTCTATGGGACTTCACATTCGGGTGCTGCACGCATTCTGCTGACAACACGCAGCAGTGGTTTCATTTACTCCAGAACCATCTTTTGCCACAAAATCAAGGCTTTCCCTTGAATTCGTAGTCACTCCACTATCACCCTTGGTTTTACAGTCACAATCATCACAAAGGCGGCTTAGAGCTCGCGCTTTCTCCGTAAACACCAAGGGAAGCTAAGAGGCAGACAGGCTGTCAAAAGACAACTTCCAATGGTGGCAGATCCTGGTTAAACTACTTGCGTGTTCGCTTGGTTTAAGCTCAGAGGGGCTGTTCTGGAGAAAAGGGAGTAAGGCAAACTGTGAGGACTCTCCGGTTAGGGGCACTTGCACGTTCCGGACAGAGCCTAGCACACGCTGGAACCAAAATAAATATGGATGAGGAGGAGGGCGGCAGCATGTTGCGCTCAGGATTAAGTAGCGCGGGCAAAGAGCGCGCTGGAGACGACAGACTTGGTGAAAAGCCCATTAAGATCTGCACCGATTAAGCGGTAAACGCTCGCAGATCCATTTCTGAATTTCCCCCAGAAACAGAATCCGAAATGACAGGAAGGGCAAAACTAGCTTTTAAGAAAAAGGGGAAAATCCACTTCTGTTTCCCATTTCTCCCACCCCACCTCAGTTCCTCCCTCTTCCCCCCTAAAGCAAACGAGAATAGCTTTGTCAGTGCTTAAAGGAGCCATTCCAAAACCAATTAGAACCCCTTCGTCTAGTTTGTATGTATTGTTAAGGCATCTGGGGAGAGCGCGCGTCAGATCTGCCGCCCAACCATTGAGAACGCTGAAAAGAAGACTCGGACGAGGTTGGAAAACAAATACACGCGGCCAGTTATGAAGCCCAAGCCGGAGAGCCTGGCGGCGGCGGCAGAAATAGTAGAAGTTGGGGCGGGTGGGGGGTGTCGGAAGGCGGATTTCAGACAGCGGAACCGCGGGATTCCTGTCCTGAAACCCATCCCGGGGAATAATAGGCAAAATGCTAATTTCATTGATGCTTCTGCTGTGAAGAACGCCAGCAGTTACGCATAGAGCCTCTGCTGGCTTATTTACTTACGCGCAGCGCAGTTCTGTACAGGGCTACTCTGGAGTAAGCCCCCATGGATTACTTGATTCCCAAGTAAGTATGTGTAAGGGTCTTGCCTACTTTCTATCTTAAGAAAATAATGATAATATCCTGGCTTTCGTTACAATATCCGGAAGGTTTAAATGTATAATCCACAAATGTATAATCCCCTTTCGAGAAACGAGTCGAGAACAGAGGAAACGGCCTTCTTTCGAGCTGAATGACGGATCCTCCGTCTAGCACAGAGCACTGACTGGCAGCAGAGATTCAAAAGGGTGGGATGGTTGAATTTCTGAATAGAAAGCGTGTATTTTACCTCTGAGCTGTTTCTCCCACAGCTCTGTGGTAGGAAAACGAGACACAATGGATAGAGAGCGCCCAGTTTCATCGTCTGCAGAATTAGGCAACAGCCACAAACACCGTTGCGCTTCTCAGGGGTCGCACAACAACGCACAGATCTCTCCTGCGTGGAGTTGCTTTCTTTCTGGTTGGTTTGCTGCTGTTTGCGGAGTTCAGCGTCGCCCCAAAGCCTGCGCTCATTTCCATCCTCATAGACAGAAGACCCACACGACACATTTAATGCACCTCCAAAGCTCATTTAAAACACATTGTCGTGTCCCCCCCCGGGCAAATCATGGGAACTATAGTCTGATAAGGATGATCATTGGGACTACAGCTCTGGGAGGGGGAAACGATAGTTTCCAGGATTATTTTGGGGAAGTAATGTGCTTTAAATGTTCGTTGGGTTTTATGGTAAGGATATTCCAAAGAGATAAATTTTAGCTTACGCGTTTACGGCTCTGGAAGAGAGTATACTCAAGATTACCTAGTGCACGTTAGTTACTAAAAAAGAAGAAGATTATTCCCGTGCTCATAGTGGTTAAATTGCATATTTCCCTGTCTTTTATTCAGTGGGCTCCTATGGGTGAAGCGTGGTGTAGTGGTTAGAGTGTCGGACTAGGACCTGGGAGACCAGGGTTCAAATCCCCACTCAGCCATGAAGTTACTGGGTGATTTTGGGCCATTCATTCACTTTCAGTCTAACCTACCTCACAGCATAGGGGCAACTCCTAGGGGCCATGGGGTAAGGGGTCCTCCACAAAGCTGATGGGCATTCCCATTCAAATATTGTGTGTCATGTGATCGATTATGCGGGGCGGGGCTTACCTGGGCCCCCCACAATTTTTTATTCAAGTTGGCACCCCTACCTCACAGGGTTGTTGGGAGGATAAAATGAGGAGGCGGAGGAGGAGAACTAGCTTCTCTCTCTCTCTCTCTCTCTCTCTCTCTCTCTAAGCCTTGGCTCATACTAGTAAACGAGGGAGTAGCAATTATTCCACAGCGATGACCTCGCGGAATGTAGAGACTTCATTCACAGATGCTCCAGAATCGCCCTGGTTGAAGCCTGCGTGGCTTCTCCAGAGCAAGTGGATTCAAAACCGTCCAGCTTCACATTTAACACTCTTTGACTAAACAGCCCAGCAAAGCCCAAGGGGGGAGAGAGAGGTCGCCTATTCAAGAGCTGTCAGCAAGAGATTAAAAGCCCCAGGATGGCGTTGAACCCGAGGCTTGAGTCAAGTGGTGGGAGGAGGGGCGTGCGGGGAGGGGGAGACTCTCTGCAATTCGGGCGGGGGTGGGAGGAGACTTAAGAGAAGGGGAGACAGGCGTGTTTCAGAAAGGAGATCTTTACATCGGCTTGTCAGTATCCCCTGAGCCTAACCCAAAAGCGCAGATCCACATCGCACACATCGCACATTTAAAGCGCATCCAATGCACCTCGAAACAACATTACTTCGCCCCAGGGAATTATGGGAAGCATAGTTTGTTAAGGGGGCTGGAAATTGTAGCTCTGTGAGGGGGTAACTAAAGTTCAGGTGCTTTAAAGGTGCGCTGGATGGGCTTTAAAGGTATGGTGTGGAGACCCTCCTGTTCAGACAGGTCTTTGAAAACAAAGGTGCAGACGATGCTGATCCCTGGGCTGCTGTCAGGGCAAACAGTTTTTAAACTTCCGGCTCTAAATGTGTCCTGGTGTATTTTAATTATTGTTTTTAATTATTTTGTTTTGATTAGTTTGTCTTGTACAGTATATTGTTGCTTTTGAATGTTGTAAGCCGCCTTGAATCCCAGCTTGGGAGAAAGGCAGGCTATAATACATTAAATAAAAATAAATAAATAAGGTTTCTTGATACACACTCCATGGTCGCAGCAAAACACATTACATATATCCTGTATATGCAGATTCATATGTGTCTATATCGTCATAGCTCCACAATAAAATAACACAGAAAGAGAGTTATGTATACATACTGTTGTGGAACTGTTCTCATGCACACACACATACCAGGAGGACAGACAAAAGACTGTACACAGTGCACGGTTAGTTTATGGAACTCCCTGCTACAAGATGTGACGATGTCCCATTTTTCCGTCGTCTTTAAAGCGGGATTAGACAGTGCAATGCCGAGGTAGGTGGGCCTCTGAGCTGAAACAGCCGGTTGTGTTCTTGCACTTCACACGTCCTATTCTAGATGCATACAGGTCTTGTTTTTCCAGCCATTCAGTGATTAATAGATGACCAGAGGCCTTCTTGCCCTCTCTGGGCAAGCTGGAAGGGTGGTGATGGCTGCCCAGTGGGACGCTTCTCTGCTCATGCTCAGAGGACGTCTCGTCTCCATCATGTGAGCAAAACCCGGACATTAAAATAGAGATTCCGGGGAGAAGCTCTTTGGGCCAAATGTAGTCTTGCTCAGTTCCATTGACTGAGGACTCTCACCTGTCCTCCCCCTCCCCCATCCTAAATATATGCACTAAGTATCTCACACTTTACATGCGAATTCTTGGGGAGCCCAGATTTTTTAGGGAAAGGGGAAAACTCTGCCAAAAGCCACTAGGAGACCTGGAATTGTAGTGCAAACGTTGAGTGGCGATCCACAGTTCGGTTCCCTTCCTCTTTATAATCCCAACCCTCCTTCCTTCCCAGTTTGCCAATTTATATGCTGTTCGATTCCCAACTTCCTCTATCCATCCATCGCTCCCTCCATCTATATCTGTACTCCGCGCAATCACGAAGCCAAGCGGCGAAATGGTCTCTTTCTCTCTCTCTTCACTTGACTAGCTTGGTAGGTGGCCCTGTATATTTGGGTTAATGTCGTGTTTATGTTAATGAAAAAAAGGGGGGGGGATAAGATTACAAACAGACCACGGCATGCCCTGATTTCTGTCGCTGCTGGGTTCGTCTAAACTGTATATTTCCAGACTAATCAGTTTCGGAGAGCGAAAATGACTGTTGCCTCGAAGACCTCTCTCGCCGCCGCCCCGCGGCCCCCCCCCCCAAACCGACATTTTCAATTAAAAAAACAACCAAGGGAATATTGATTGTGTTTCCTCTGGAGATAGTGTATATCTAATCTGTTGCTATAGAGAGGAAGAGACGCACAGGGATTTTTGGACTGTTTGATTTGTTGCTTTTTTCCTCTTTCAGAAGAGAGAGAAGGCAGAAGCGGCTTGAGGATCGCAGCAAGGATGCCTGGATGAGACCATTGAGCTGAATCACACACCCCTTTGCCCTTTACACTACAATCCGATGCACACTTTTGTAGGAGTAGGTCCGGATTGTGCTATTAAAGACACACTCATGTCACTTGAGAAATTAAGCACGTGTCTGTCTCCCACGAAAAACAGTGAGACCTCGATGTGTTTAACTTCGTCTATAGTTGGAAATGGCTCCTGATAGTTCTGTTAGACATTATTATTATTATTATTATTATTATTATTAACCATGATATTACACCCACTAAAATTAATGTACCTAAGTTGGCCATGTCCATTAAACCCAATGGGTCTACTCTGAGTAGGACCAGCATCTGCTCCCACTTATTATGATAATTACTATTATTATTACTATTTCATCTCCAAGACTCCTCTCTATTCAAATTTTATATTGATCACGTTTCCTGCCCGCACCCAACCTTTCCACGCTGGACCTTCAAATAAGTCGAAGCTGTCGATCATTTCAAGGCTTTCTTTTGTCACTTAAAGAAAGTAGTGGCAACGTTTCCCTGAGGGGCGGGCGGGCTGTGGAGGACATTTATTGAAATTTCAGGATCAGGGGAAAGTCTTGGGGGGACAAGCAACGAGGGTTTCCCCTGCCTCCCCCCACGCTAAGATGTGACTGGTTTTGGTGTGATCACTGGTGAGAACGCAAACATCTGAAACAATCCCGCGCAAGTATAGGGTACCACTTCCAAATACAGTTGTATCCGTTTTCCCTGCGCCTCTTTAGATGTGCATTTTTAGGTACCAAAAATAGCACTGCGTTCTGTATTGTACAGCTTGGATTCTTGAACGAGTGAGAGGTGTATCAGTGTCTTTTGAGTGATTAAGGGGAAAAAATGGGCAGGATCTCTCCCCCGCACATTGTAAATCCTCATTTACAAAGCCAAGACAACCACAAACGTTATTAAGGCAATTAAAAGATTTATGGCTGTGAATGAGAAAACATATGTAAAATCCAATGCTTTCTGCGCAGAGTAGACCCATAGAAAATAATGGGCAAGCCTAACTTAGGTCCACTCATTTCAACGTCTCTGCTCTGAATAGATATTTGTTGAATACAACAGTTAGAACGTTCTAAGGCAGCATAGAAATATAATATTGGTTGATTCGTTTTCAGTGGGTTTTTATACACTTAAAAAAAGTATTTCAAAGAGAAAGTCCCTTTTAGGACAGAGAGGGAAGGGTATGACTATTTTTAATAAATGATCAGTACTGGCATAGAAACAAAGCAATTAGTATTTACCAGAAAGCCATATATACAACCCTGTTCCTTTTTTCTTTCTTTTTTCTTGTTAAAAAATATTGACTTTAAAATGGAAAAGTCTTACCCATTTCATTTCAAAGTAATTTCTATAAACAGCAAACGAATTGTTATTGCGTGACAATATATTCATTTTCAATCCATTATGATGTATAAACAATCATTTGGTATGAGTCACAGATCAAGCATGGGACGAAACTCAAGCGCGCACGGGGGGGGGGGAGAGTCACATACATGATCTCAGTCTTCCTTACAACCACCCTGTAAGGTAGGTCAGTATTAATATGTCCATATTGAAGAGAGGGCGCTGATAGCGTGGCTGAGGCTGCAATCCTATGCTGTCTTTTCTAAGAATAATCTCCACTGAATTCAAGCAAACAAGCATGGGACTGGGTTATTAGTGAGGTCTGAGGTGAGGGTAGATTTGCCCAAGAAGCAGAAAGACGCCCGAATTCCTTCCCAAAGAAGACACGGAGCTCTTATTTGGTGTATTCAATGGGGCTCACTTTCTAGAACACCTGCAATCCTATACTTATTTACCTGAGAGTAGATTTTACTTCTGAGCAGACATGTACAGGATTGCAACTGTTCACTGTATTTAGGATTACAGCGTTACAGAGTGATCCTGCCAATGCCTAAACAGAAGTAAGTCCCATTTACTTAAATAGGATTTGCTCCCCGGTAAGTGGGTAAAAGGGTTACTGTTTTTCACAGTAAATTGGATTTCAACAAAATCGGTGGGCTTCTGTATCTTTTAAAAAAACAACAACCTATTTTAAATAAAAACATTTTATAACCTAGGCGCAGTGTACTGCGATTCTCTCATACCCTTCCGCATTCCAGATGTAGGGACATCAATTTAAATAAATAAGCAATTCTAAAACTGGAGAAGAATGAAAAGTATTTTGTTTCGCTTTAGCATAAATGAAACGTATTGGTGGAGAGAGATATGGATAATAAAAAAGGATGAGCGGACTTCAAGCTTGCGGGTTCTACTTTGGGTCGGAGCCAATATTAGTTTACTCGGAGTAGACCCCTTGAGATTAATAGACTAATTTAGGTCCATTCATTGGATTCGGAATTAAGTGCCAAATAGTGGTTTAGAAAGAAGGGCGGGCATACAGTTAGAACGAAAGAACCGGGACACCTCTGAATCAGCGAAGAGACTTGTGGGATCTTAAAGATTCCACATTTTATTATGGCTTAGGTAGACTGAAGTCCATTTCAACAGAGGCAAGACCACCTCTGAATTTGTGTCCAGGACCCAGACTCAAGCCCACAGACCTTTCCCCCCAAAATCCATTCCTCGTTCCTCCTCTCCAGCTTTCTTCGTTTCAGCAGATACATTGGGGGGGGGAGGGGAGTTGCTGTGGAGTCCAAAATCCTTGGTGACCTCCTGCAAATAGCACAGATACCTACAAGTAGATCCCGCTGTACCACCTTCTGCTCCTGCCCTTGTTCGTATTGAAGAAGACTAACGCAATATCCTCCTGCGGGGATTGCGCAGGTTGGGCTGCGCTCTTCAATGGAAATTGCGCAGGAGAACGAGCCGCTGGATTGTGCCTTCAACGCTCTTCCTCGAAGCAGTCTTTTAGATCCCCCGATTGCAAAACCGGAATGGTATTTCTCCTTAGAGAGGGGACGCTTTGGAAGTCCCATTGCAGTGAATCGGAAACTGCTGCGCCAGAACGCAGCTCCATAGCAGAAGCTAGCGCCGGGATCGTGCCCATACCCATACTAGAGTCTCCCAGATCGCTTTGCATTTGCATCCCTTAATTCTCGATAACAGAAGTTTTATTTAGAGCACAACACCGTTTTTTGGGTGCTTCCAAGGTATCCCTAGTGCCCAGTGAAATTATTTTAATTTCTAGAAAGGGGTGTTGAGTCAACATTCGGGATTTTGAGGCAAACTAGTCAAGTTCTCGCTTTGTCCCATCTAGAATCATCATCATCATCATCATCATCATCTTGCCTGCCCTGCACCATGAGGTCCCCTGGCAGGTTACAACGATGTAAAATACAGAATTGAAATCAGTCAAAACAAATTACAGTCGAGAGATCAGGATGGGTCCTAAATAGATGTTTCAGATGTTTCCCTAAAGGAAAACAAACAAACAAATTAGCTAGTGTAGCTAGTGAAAAGAAAAACCCTGGCACTCCTCAATTATGTGCCCCCTGGTTAATTTAGAGCTCTCTATGGGGTGTTTTGTGTGTATGGCATCCATGGTACAGAATATCGGGTAAGAAATATGTTCAGGAAAGATAGGTGCAATTCACCCCCCCCCATAACATTCATTACACGACATCCCAATCTCTGAACAGTAAAAGATTCCAGAGGTGCCAAGGGTGTTGCCAAGAGGTTTGGTTTCCTGGGAATGAAGGTAGGAGGAGGCTGTGGTGTCTTTAGGGTGTATGGTTTTATTTGCACAGGATGGAGGGACTCACAGCATTAACAGCCCAATAGATCTTTCTTTTCCACTAGTCGCATCTTTGGATCCAGCACAGAGCAACTATATGTCTCTCTGAGGTGCAAATGGTGAGTGTGTTTGGTGGGTGGGGCATGGGCGTAGCCAGGATTGATGTTGGGGGGACAGGATCAATGTTAGGGAGGGCAGAACTGAGCTATCTGCACTGCAATTGGTCAGTTAGTTAAATTTATTTATTTATTTATTTATTTATTTATTTATTTATTTATTTATTTATTTATTTGATTGATTGATTGATTTAGGGGGGCAGCTGCCCCCTGCCCCTCCTTGGCTACGCCCATGGGGTGGGGGCTTTTTTTTACCTTTTTTTTTTAAGAAATGGCATGCTCATCTTACAAAAGAGGATTATGCAGAATGGAGGAGGAGAGGTCTGCTAATGCCTAGGCAGCCATGCTAATCAAAGGTGTCCCGTTTACTTGAAGGTGCAGGAGGAGGAGGTGGAGCAGTGGGAAAGACCCACTGACAACACGACCTGCAACTAATGGCAAAAGCAGAATTAGTTGGCTATGCCTGTCATTGTCTCTAGCTCCACTTTCTGCCGGTCTCCCTGTCTTCTGCCATCGCAGTCCTAAGGGGCACCAGCCACCATTAATGCCACACACACACATGTCTTCACCCCTAAAAACTCAAAGGATGCTCTGGTCTCCAGAGATGAAAGCGACATGGCACGACCCATCAGCTGACAACCGTGGCCCACACAGCCTTGCTGAGGCTGATTCATCTCACCATTTGTCTGTCAGCACTTGGCTAATCCTTAAATAGCCTTCAGCAGGTGCTTCATGCTTCCGCCACCTCCTCCTGCCTCCCTCCTCTCCCCCACTTCTTTGCTCCCCTCTGCTTTTATCTGCTCTTTTAGATGGTGGTGACATTTTCTCCAGTTCGTCCAATTCCTGCCTGTTTTCCCTGGGGTGGTGGGTGATAGTGGAGGGGCAGCCAAGATACTGTTTAATCCAGATTGAGCCGAGTTCATAAAACCAGAGCCAGAAGGGACCTTCCAAGGTCATCTAATACAACCCGCTGCTTTAGTTTGGTCTTACATGGTCTACATTTCTTGGTTTTGTCTCACTACAGAAGAGAGGCTGCTTCTGGAAATCTCAACGGGCATGTATTTCCACCTGCCTTCTCCACCCCATTGCCTGAGATCCTTATAAGGAGGAGAGCTGTATTTGGGACAATGAAATGATTGCTACAGGGGAAAGACTGCTGGAACCATCAAGGGCAGGCTGTAAATGGCAGAAGAGGTGGGATGGTGGAGTTTGCAGTCAACACACTGCTTATCTTTGGAGCAGCAGTGATTCATGCATAGGAAAGGGACCCCTTCCAAACTACTCAGATTGGGTATTGAACTGTGAGGTTATGTGGGGCTTGAAGGACAACCAATCTTTACCTCCCCATGTGAGGGATGGGGAAGGGATTGAGAAAGGAGACCCAGGTGAGAACTGGGCACCCATACAGCAAGTTAATTTGGTGGGCATATGTGGAATGTCCTTTGGGAATAGTGACCCCACCAATTTTGGATGCTACCACTTTATTTCCTTTGTGGATATTATTCTCGCAATTACGGTAGAATCATAGAGTTGTAGAGCTGGAAGGGACCAAAGGAGTCATTTAGTCCAACCCCTTGCAATGCAGGAATCATTTGAACCCATGACCCGGAAATTAGGAGTCTCATGCTCTGTTTAGCTTTATGTTAGCTTATTTATATTTCTCTTGTATTTATTTGTATTTATTTATATTCTATATTTATTTGCATTATGATTGTTTCAAATTGTTCTTACTTTTTTAAACTTGTTATATTTATTTGTTGTTGTTTATCTGGTATGTTGTGAGCCACTTTGAGCACTATTGTAGCAGCATACAAATAAATAAATGGATAATGATTATGATGACTTTTTAAAAGCAAAATGTGAATAATCACAGCCCCAGGATGTGTGCTTAACCTACAAAAGCAAGGGTAAATGCTCAAGGTGCCTGAACAGTTACAACTAATCTGTGTTAGGCAACCTTGAGTTTGCACTCTTGCTTAGCAGCATAAGGAAGGAATGTCTTTGGTGGATCAGGCTGAGGTTGGGATAGGTCAGCATCCTTCAGTGGATTCCCAGAAACCAGCAAGCCCACAGGAAGATCAGTGATAGCCCTTCTCTCCACACCTGAATTTGTCTGTCTAGGGCACATGCTAGTGGTGGGCAGGGATGGAAGCAAAAGTGGGAGGAGCAACAAATGAAAATCCTGCAACAGGATTGTTTCTACATGTGTCCATACACTGCTCCCGGCCTCCATCCAGACAAGCAAGAGGCACAATCAGAGTTCAAGGACAGATTCCAGTCAGGCAGAAAACACTAGGAGTGTGATGCAGGGTCAGTGAGGGCCTGGGGAGAGTTCTGAGGGCCAGCTAGAGAGGCTTGGAGGGCCACACACACATCTCTATCCAGGGAAGGAAGAGGCATTCTTACTGTTCAGTGACACATTCCAGACAGGCAGAAACGCGTAAGGAGGGTGCAGAACAGGGCTGGTGAAGGGTGTGGCCTTGGAAGAAGGGTGTGTGGCCTGATCAGATAGTTGAAGGGCAAATAGAGAGGTCTGGGAGTCATATTTAGCCCCTGGTCTGTGCCCCTCAGCTGTGTACTAGAGAGCAATGTGAATTTATACTTTGAAGCAAGTAAGGACTGATCTTCTCAGATACATTTCAGGAACAGTAAAGTAGCCCTTTCTCATCAGAGCTCATAATGTTACCCTTTATGCTTTCCAAGAATATTTGATATATAAGCAGAGAGAGAATTGATATTTTTTTGCACTTAGACTGTGATGCACATTTTCCTGGACATAAATCCCATTGAACTCAATCAGACTTATTTCTGAGAAGACATGCATTGGGCTGCAATATTTGTATTGCAATCTTAAAACAATTACACAAACATGAAAACCAAACTCATAAAATGCAAGTTTCCTTTAATCATTTAAATATCACATACCTCTCTTTTACAAACATCAATAAACATGTCACAGTTTTGATCAAAGATATCTCCGCATTCTCCCTTTCCTCCTTTGTAGTTCATTATTTTTGGACCATTATTGTATATTCCCAAAATGAATTTGGCCATTCATTAATTGGTCATATTTTATTGTCTTTCCAATATCTGGAGCTTTGTTATTTATGCCTAGGAAACCACTTTTATTAATATTTAATTTTTATTTGGGGTAGTGTGTGTGTGTGTGGACACCACAACTCAGGCTATGACACATCACAATAATTTAGAAGTTGGCTCACACACACTTAACATAAATCTAAAATATACTAGAATCTGAGAGAGAAAATTCATTCAGAAATGTGAAAAGTATTATTGAGATTGACCTTCTGGACAAGTGATTCTGAGGATTCTAGTGGTAGATGCTAACATTCTATATATAATTAATTCCCAAATTCTGTGCCAGGGCAGTCCAGTGTGCATGATAAATGAAATTTAGAAATAATAATCAAAGGCTCCTATGTGCCCAAAGCACTTGACCTCAGAGGAGGTCATCCATTAGGTCTCTGAATGACTCCTTGCTCTTGACTTGATTCCTTATATCCAGAAGAATGACAAATATAGAAACACAAGGTAGGCGTATTTCAGCAGGTGAGGAGAGGAGGGGAAACCAGTGAGCCACAGGCCAGATCCTCATCCAGCCTGCAACTTCCCCTTCTGCCCTTTCCTCCAACATATCATTAAGTCTAAACAAAAAAACAAAACCCCACCCCACCTTCTGTTACATATTTCAAAACAAAGTCTCTTCAGGTATATGAGTGATTGCAACCCATATTTTGAGCATTGTACCTTAAAGATGGACTCTCCTCCGAAAGGCATCCACACCACAGTCAAGACCCAACTTTGGAGATCCATGCAACAAAAGCAATAAAGGCTTTCGGCATTGACTGTCTTAGTAAGCCCTGAAACAGAAAAAAAGTTCTCTCTACCTAAACATTGAACCCCAGGAACCACACGATAAACCTTAAGCAGTTTCATCCTGCAATTAAAGCCAGGGTCAAATATTTCTCTGGCTACGCTATCAGCGAGTCCTCCATTACAGTTCTTTATTTAGCCATAAAGTACCAGTTGTATTGAGTGGAAGATTAAAATTATTGTGTTGTGAGGACTGATCTTTCAAGCACTGTTATTTCATGCTGTAACGCTTGGCGCAGTTTTTAACAAAATCGGCCAAGCAAGCGTGTTAACTCTTCAGGCTGAATCATCAACTTCGTTTTCTTCTTGCTGTCACAAAGCCTTAAAACCAAGAGCAGCATATTGAAATCGCTTTATTGGTCTTCCAAAAATCTAAAAGGGAAAAAGAAGAGATTGTCAAAAGTAACCTTCTGAGTCAGAGAAGAGAATCTATTCTGTGAGTCTACCTGGGCAGGGAATTCCAAAGGTATCAAAGTGAGCTTTTACCACCTCTGTATAATAGAAGGACAGGGAGCAGAATCTTTCCAGCAGATCTTAAGACACACAGACAAATATATGGGAAAAGACAGTCCTTTAGATTGTAAATTCCTTGATGACAGAGACCTGTTTCCGTTATGTTACTTTGTGCAGACCCATATATAGTATTTTATAGATACTATACTATACTATATTATATTATCATCACCATCAACTACAGCATTTACAGAATTTTCAGGGACTAGAACAAAGAGTAAAGCTGGGTTTGCAATTGTTCATTTTTGTGTCAGAATGGTCTCTGGTCAAGCAGATTTTTCAGATTATAAAAATGCAGCCAAACATTGAAAAACTCTTATAACAGTAGAATCCAGTGAAGGTTCAGATTCAGGACAGACAAAAGGAAGTTGTTCAAACACTGCATAGGCAACCTATGGAGTTTACTCCCACAAGAAGCAGGGATGACCACCAACTTGGATGTCTAAGAGGGTAAGACAAATTCTTGGAGGATAAAGCCATCAGTGGCTAGTAGTCACAATGGTTATGTTCTCCCTCCACATGTCTTAGATAGAGAACTGCATTGTAAACTTCAGAGAAGAACAAATTTGAAATGATGGGTGTGTTTCAGGAAGTGGAAATCAGGTAGGTTCACTTTTCAATGTGAACTTAAAAATTTCTCCCACATGTTTGTTTTTGGCAATTGCTGGTTATGATTTTAGAGTCAAAGCAAAATAAAATTAATGCATTGTTGCAAGGAAAATTGCAGGAACAAACACCCTCCCATTCTACTGCAGCTCAGTTAACTGGACACCCCTATTTAGCAAGAGGAGGCTAAATAATGCTCATAAATACATTCTCTACATTGTGGATCACTGTCGTTTAATTGAGCAAATCCTACTCTATTCATTTACATTGCTTTCAGTTTCATGGTTCATTAGCGATTTGAATACTGACTGCATGCAGGATGTCATGTTGCTCTCAAGTATTGTCTCCACGTCACCACTAGAGGAATTGTCAATATTTATGATTACACATATTGTTAGTTGTAACAATTATGCAAAAAGTTGGTAAGTTTTTCAATGGTGCAACTTTTTTTAAAGCATCAGTATTTCCCCTCCAAAGTTTAACAACAAACAACAACAGAATGAAAAGGTGTATCACTTTAAGGAGAACAAGTACTTAGTTTTGAAAAGCAAATGTATTGTGTGCAAGCCACCTTAGATGGCCTTGCTAGTGGGCATCTCCACATCTTGTGGCAATGAAGCCCTTACAGCAATGATACATTGTGTGCAACTGTGTTGGCTTTTGTATGTCCTGAATTTGCTGCCAAGTGGTTTTGTGGGATGATTACAAGAGGAGCAGAACTGGTTCCCTCATTCCAGCTCCTTTGCACCATGCAAAATGTTAGAAATCCCCTAACATTTTCTCCTGAACATTCTGGTTGCCCTTTTCAGTATTATATATACTACACTGTGTAGCATCAAATGACAGTTTACAATTTGGATTGTTATAATCACACTATGCACCACATCTTCCTTCCTATTCCAGAATAATGGCAGCTTTAGTAATTTCTAGTCCTCATGTTAAAGATAGACAGGTGGCCATTTCTTCTACATTCACAAAATTCAGAGTGGATCTTGATTTCTAGTGTACAGAGGCCACAAGAAGTTTTCATTTCCCACAGCCTCAGCATCTTCCTAACAGATCTAGATTCCATCCCTATGTCTGTTTCTGACTGTCCTCCCAAATGATCTATGCACCCCATTATTCTGTTGTTTCTTCCATCCCACTCTCTAGGAAATGCCAAATACTGTAAAGTGAGGGGGGGATTCTACCACTATTCACTGTATACAGCAAATAAATGGAAACAAAGCCCACATACATTGCACAATTTATTCTAGTCAAATAGCTGCTGTTGTTTGATTACAGAATCTGTTGTGGGACCTTCAGTGCAGAATTCTGCATGCATGCATGCTTATATTAGCTATGTATTCATTGCCAATTTATAATAACATCTAAGCACTTGTTCTTTTAACAATCCCGAAAGCCCAAATTTTCAAAAGCTAGGGCTCACCAGCCTGGCACCCATGGGTGCAGTGTCCCTCTTGAGGTCTTCTCTTGGTGCCCATAAAAGCCTCCTGACTACCACCTTTGTCATGAAGTGGTGAGAGTCATTGCCATCCTTTTCCTTGGAAAGTACATAGAGCTGAAGGAAGAAGCTGGAAGAGCGAGGTTCAATCCCATTTCCTCTTCCAGCTCTATGTGCTTTTCAAGGGTCAGATTAATTCTGTTGGATCCAACTTAGAGCACTTGGCAAAGCAAAATATGTGTGTTCTGTCTCTCTCTCTCTCTCTCTCTCTCTCTCTCTCTCTCTCTGGGGGCAGATCTGGGGGAGGGGAAAAATTGACCAGAGGGGATGGCATTCACATAACTTCCACAAAAATCC